AGTTTCTTCCTAGCTCTATGTTTAGTTTGCCCTTTTATCTTGTATGACCCTTCTCCTCAGTTCAGATTCTATTACCCTAACTTCCAGACTCTAGTGGCTTTCTCAGTCTCCCCAGCCACCAATGTCTACTTACTCCTAAAATATCCTGAACAAGACATGAGATTAATACTTAATTTTAATGCCTAGCACAAAGTCTAAAATACCAGACATCATATTTAATATCATCAGAAGATATCCCCAGAAGTCACTTCTTCCCACATACACACATGCCTCGGCACGCCCTCCATAACTGCGTCCCTTCTTCTCCACCTGTTCTTCCTATTCTTTAATGTCAGAGAAATTCTTGCCCCCCCCCAGCTGCAAAACCCCAGTGTTTGTTTGTTTTTTGCCTTCCAGAATCTAGACAAGTAATAATAGTATGTTGGTACATAATCAGATATTGCCTTATATTATTAAAGTTAACCAATATGAAACTTGATTATAAAGTAATGAAATGGAGTTCCACAATTCTCATTTAAATCAATATCATTTCATGCTATTAAACAGGAGTCAAAGGGTAGCTGTAAACAAGACACTGCTTCAGACTAGCTTGATGTGGCCATTGTGCATTTTGGTTTAGATTTGGATCTGAGAAATTGCACACCTTGGGGGAGATTGATGGGGGAAGTTACGCTGTGTATTTCACTTCACCTCCCTGCTACATACCATTGTTTTAAACCTTAATGTGGCGGACAGTGATAAATCCTGGCTGGGTCTGAAGAAATTTGAGTTTGCATTATTTTCTGAGAGTCACACTTAAACCACGCCATTGCCCTAGTAAAGTCTGGAAGCCCCAGGATTGGTACATGTCATACGTTATACTCAGTGCTAAACTGAGCACAAAGTAGGAACTTAGTGAATACAAGTTGAGTGGATTCACGGAAAGCTGCAGAATCGATTTAGCTGTCAGGGCTGGGAGACCACATGATCCAGTGAACAAAGAATATTTTCATGAGCCTGAGCTGAGCTCCCCTTACGCAATGCCAAATGAGCTTTCATGACTGCAAGTTCCCACCATGATTCCAGCATTTCCAACAATAACACCTACTGCTTACAATCTGTTCCTGGAAGTCATCCCACTAAAACAGGTGTGATATTTATCTCAGTTTGAAATACCAACCTAAGTGTCAATTCCTGGAGGAAAAGGAACAGGCAGGTTTATTTTAAAGCAAAGGGAAAGGAGAACTTACTAAAAATACTATTTACAAACATAATATTCCAATGACAGGAAATAACAGAAAGCACCTCTGGTTGACCTAAACAAGAAGTGGTTAACCTCATTCTAATGACTGTCAAGAGACCTCAGATACTCTCTTACTCTGAAATGTTAAGTTCAGATTTTTCATATCCTCACATACAACTTCCAGGATGGCAAACCCTTGGGTAAAATTTTCCAGTGTCAGGGACTAGAATGCTCATGTAACAATCAACAGGTACAAGAAAGTGGTAGAGAAACCATGACAGACAGACCAGGGTTTGAAACTGGTGTTAACACTCCTTTTTCTGAGCTTTAGTGTCCTTAACAGGGGAAATGATGTTTTACTTAAATAATTAAATAAGATAAGAAGAGCTAGTGCTTACTGCGTGCTCATTTCATGCCAGGCACTGATTTAATGTGTTTTTTAAATGTGTCATATATCCACAATGACATTACCTCCAATTTACACACAAGGAGGTACAAAGAGGTTAAATTTGTGATTGGCCTTCAGTCTATAACTGGCAAAAACCAAGATTCAAATCCAGGTGCTCTTGATCCTTGTCTCATGCTGGTACAACGCTCCCAAGCAAGCAAGAACCTCGCCAATGGGGAAGCTAAACAAAGCAATGAGTGAATGAGAGAGCAGGGGTGTGGGCAGAGGAAGGATAAACCTTTAACCCATTTCCTTTCTGGCACTCCAGGTCCTTCAAAGGTAAATGACAAGGTCTTTAAAAGATCATGAATCTCTCATTCCCCAAAAATATCATTTGTTCTGGTCCCACATATAGAAAAATTTAGGACAAATTACCCTCCCCACCCACTCAGGCTAAGGAGGACATGCAATGACACACCTAGGCTGGTTCAAAAATATACCCAAACAAACTCAGCAAAGATCAAGCCTTCCGAACATGTATTTCTCAACCACCTCATTTTAGAGTAAACTCCCTTTCTTGCTGGAGTTTACCTACACTCCATTCATCTGAGAAAATTCCTAATGCTGGTGTGTCTCAGGGGCCTAGGAGATTTTTAATCTCCCTCACTATTTCTGGAACAAGTCTCTCAGATTTACCGGTATTGAGATTTAAAACATACCCCAGTCCCTTCACCACATGACCCTCCCACACCTACAAAGCAATCTGAGCCATTCCTTATCTGTTCTGTAGGTGAGCCCAGTCTTAGGGAAAAGGCAAAGCTGTGTGGTCACCATAAAGCCACAGACAGTACATGCGTCCCCACAGATTTTTATGAATATATGAGGATGGGTGAGCTTAGACTACAGGCCACACGATACTTCAGAAATAAAGACAACAAAAAAGGAAAGCTAACATAAAGAAAAGCAATATGTACTTACAGGGAGATGCTGATGGATCGCTCTAAAATACTTTCCAAGGGGAAACATGTGGCCTGGGAGCTTCCTCACTCTGCTGGAAAGGCTCTGGCATTCCAGCCATTCTGAGCAGGATTGATTTGTACCAAAAAACGGGCTCCTGTCTTAGACAAGTCCCTGTTTGGACCAAATTCCCTAGTTCTGATCGTGAAACTGGGCATATGTTCCATCCTCCAATAAACAAAGTAAAATTTATGGCCATAATTTTGTACCCCCAAACCCAGTGTTACAGACGCAAGGATCCCAGACCCAGAGAACAGAAGGTTTCAGCTCTCACCATTGTTGGCAGGATTCCCAGTACAAGGAATGAGAGGAGAGGGGGTCCCCTCTAAGATCCAAACATCCCCAAACTGGGATGGCTCCTCTCATCAGGCAGAACAGCAGTCCTATCTGGTAACACTAGCAGATTTGTTAGTCACAGGCCAGACAGAGGGCAGTTCCTATTCCTCAGTGCATTGATCAGAGTCCAGCAGCTGCTCAGTCCAAGAAGAAGAACAAGAGGGGTCAAGGATGTGCCCAAGACTGAAGTCCTGAAAGCACCTCTGAGTGGCTGATGGGAGGCTGTGTTGAAAATACTGATGTGTGATATCCACAGGCCATGGCAGTAGCAAAAGATACACCCACTGAAGAAAAATGGAGGTTTTCAAACATACGCACCAAATTCCTTTTTCTTTCCTTTTTATTTCATCGAGGCCACGAGCCTGTTGGTTGGTGCTACCCACAGTTGAGGTGGGTCTTCTCCCATCAGTTTGCTGGCCTACATGCCAGTCATCTCTGAAACATTCCACAGAACACGCCCAGAAGTGTGTTTTACTGATCTGCTAGGCCCTTCTTAATCCAGTCAAATTGACATACTACAATTAATGGTTACACTCAGGCTGCCCTTGAGAGATGCCAGAGGACCCCTTTAATGGAACTAAGGGGGTGGAATTCTGGGTATATTGAGAACAGTCTGGGATTCACAGCTTGGGCTGTACTCATACACAAACCCATCAAGCTTCTCAAATTACATACTTAAAACCAATCACCTCTTTTGTATCAAACATATCATTCACACTCTCATTTTTAAATCTCTTTTACAATTCAAGACCTACAGGATTCAAATAGTCTGGTAACCTAAAGAAACGGCTTCATTGTACAGAGCTTTTGCTTAGAGGGCTCAGGTTCCACATAAGAGATTTTCCCAGGATCCTCCACAAACCGAGACCTTGTGAAACATGCTCATAAAATATGGTCCAGGGTTTGACAGATCTGCAGCTGTGAAACTCAAGAAAGAAATTATAAACAGAAGCAAGACAGGTAGAAATGCTTTTTTATTATGTTTAACAACAAAGGACTTCACATGGTAATCCAAACCCCCAATACACCACAAAATTCTTCATGCTATTACATATTCTAAAACCAAAGTACCTCAACTGCGATCCTGGGCCCAATATGACTCCTCACACTTAAATAATTTCTTGAGAATTAAAAAGTTAAGATATAAATAATTAGTAGGGCATGGTGACACACACTTGTAATCCCACACTGCAGGAGTCTAAGGCAGAAAGGCTGCAATTCAAGACCAGCCTGGGCAACTTAATAACTTAGCAAGACCCTGTCTAAAAATGTTTTTAAAATTAAAGAGGACTGGAAATATAGTTCAGTGGAAAGGCCCTGGATTCAATCCCCAGTAACACATGCACGCACACACACACACACACACACACACACACACACACCAAATAATTAGAACAATAGAATTTGCAGATCAGAAAGTGAGAAAAAAAATCATGATTTGGTGAGGAAAAAATGACTTCAAATAAAAGTGGGCATTTAAACTCCTATTAAATTAAGGTGTTATGCTCAAATCATTTCAAAAACTGAACGCTGATGTATTCCTCAAAGCTCATGTACTGGAAACTCAATCCCCAATATAAGAGTGTTGATTAGTTCAAGAGGTGATTAGGTTACCTCTTGAGTGAATGGATTAACACAGTTACCCCAGAAATGGGTTAGTTACCCCTGAAGTGGGTTCCTAACAAAAAGATGAATTCAGCTTCCCCCTTCCTCTTCACCCTCTCTTGCCCTTCCACCAGAAAATGATGTCACTTGATATGGCCCCTCAACCTTGAGTTTCCCAGCCTCCAGAACTGTAAGCCAAATAAACTTCTACTTTGTAAATAGATATATGCTGAATGTCACCATGTATATTTTAACAATAGTGGACATAAAATATGAACTCATTAAAGCTGATTTCCTTCAGCTGGTTATGTCAAGCAGAACTCTTCTGACAACTCTATTATGGCCTTAATGTAACACAGTATTTTTCATTTTTGGTGACAATTTAGAGGTAACATCTAAACAACAAATTAGCAACGTTCAGATCACAGTAGAGAAAGTGTGAACATTTATAGTCTGAAAGAAACACAAAGATTTCCATTTCCAGGCCCCCTCTTCCCTAGTTCTGTGTCCATGGAAACAGATGTGCCTCTAGTTACCCTTTCTCCCGTCATCTTTCTCTTCCCCCTCCCTCAAACTGGGCCACATTTCATAAAAGCACTCTACTAATTCATTAAACAATCTCATTTTGGCAGTGCTTTCTATGCAACCTATTTACTTAGCTCTTTTAGGGAAATATTTGAAGAAAGTATGTTCCTCCTCTTAATTAATTAAGAATTGCTAGAACAAAAGGTAGAGAACAGAAGTATTTTGAACTACAGTACAAAGAAACTGGCCTCTTACAAATTTATCATAGAAATTCAGCCTTTAAAACCAAGATCTAAATTCTCCAGATATAATGTTCTCTTTTCCTAGTTTTAAGAGGACTTCATATAAATCAAGCCTAACACTGAAAAGAAGTCACATTGACAGTCTTTAACTGGAGACTTTATCAAGTTATTCCTCTAAATAATAACTTCTAGTGCATATAAAAATTTAAATTGGGAGAGGGAGGAAGGGAAGGGAAGGGAAGGAAAAAAAAGGAAAGAAGAGGGAAAACTTTTCAAGAACACAACCATGACCAAAAATGAAGAACAGCTGAAAAAGCATCTTGATATTTTTGTTAGAATTCTATAAAGTGCTTTCCAAATGGAAAAGCAGCTGTCACTCAACTATTACTATTTCTGTTTTGTGCTCAAAACAACACACAAACAAAATAAAACACAAATTTTCAGATGACAAGAAAATGAGGGCCCCACACAGCAACACTTTAATCAACAACTCTTACCTGGGCACAAAAGACTGAGTACAGGGTTTGATTTAAAGAGGGTTAGACACCGGTAACTCAATACAGACAACAAAGATCACTGTGCATTTCTCCAAGGATATGTAGTTGTCTCCAGGAATGAGCTTTTGATGATCCTCCTCCAGCTTTCATTCATTTCCCCCTGCAAAATTTGAAACATCACATGTAACATGTCGTACTGAGAAAATGGTGAACAAGCAACACAACCAAAGAGAAAAAAGATGATTTCATACTACCCTAATCTTGGCATTCTGCCATACCTCGGGGTCACTTGGTCTGAGAGCCTCTTCCAGATTCCCAGTGCTGAGCAAGAGAGGACACACCTATACCACTTCCAGCAAGTCACCTGACCTCTTTGTATGAGGGTGATGATACTCAGAGTTATCCACTCCCAGTATTATTGCAAGGAGTTCTTACAGTCCTTGGAACATAGCAAATGTGCCCGAACCTTCTGGGTATTATTGAATTGAACTGTTACACGTGTGAACAACTACTGTTGACCATGGACAGGGTCAAATATGGAATTGGGGGATGCTCCAATTCCCCATCCTGAAGAAATGCACAGTAAAATGCAGAGATTTTCTATCTTAAATGTACTCCTAAAGAACTCATAAATATATTAATGGCAAGCACCATTTGCAGAGAGTCAAAATAAATTGCCCTGGAATGGAGAAAACTTTTTAAAGTTCCCCAGGTGATTTTAGAGAACTGCTGAGCCAGGGATTTGCCTTCTGAATTGCATGCATGGTCACTGCCTATTATGGTCTGTTGGATTTTGATGGGGCGAGGAGTTCCTGGGATGAAGCAAAGTGCATAATTGTCCATTGTGTCAAACAACATCCCCAACAGGCTGGTGAACAAATGGGGGAGGTGTCCTCAATGATGGAGCTTGGCTCTACCAACTGAGGTTGACTTGTTTTCACTTCTGGTTGTGACAGAGGTATAGGGACCCCTGAAAGAGGAAGTAAAATGGCGCCTGCCCAGTGGAGACACGTGAGATTAAAAACCATACCAGCACTGTCTTAGGAGCTGCAGGTCTAAAAAAAAATGACAGGATCAGAAAGCAGCACTGCAATTAATATTTGCCCTTTATCTTTTACTTTTCTTGATGTATTTCTTTCTCTATAATCTCAAAGTTTAGAATAGTTTTAGGGCTACAATTTTTGCATGTGTTTGAGTAAAGTCTGGCCCAAGTGCCTCAGTGACCATCCAGCTGAAAGCACAACACAAAGCCTAGCTCTCGCTCCAGGCTCGGGGCTAGTCACACAGTAGAATTTGAGATCAAAGGCAGGTGCTCATGGGGACAGAAATGACACAGAGGGTGGGATTTGGTCAGTCTCCTTTCTCTGAGAAGAGGCAGAGAGTCCAATTCTTCCCAGGGGACCAGGAGTTTCACTGAGGCAGCCTTGTAACCCTTTTTTGGAAGGGAGTCTTTAGTGATTAGTCAGTTGACATGCTTAGTAAGGGTCACAGAAAAGGCCAATCAAACCAGTCTTGTAGGTGCCTGATTATAGTGAAAGCCCAGATGATTATCTCATATTCCTTTGCTGTTTACAAACTTGTAATTATTTTGATGTATTAGAGTAAGGTCTATACAATACCATACCATAAGATCCTGGCAGGAGACACATGAGGGCGGTGTCTGAAAACTCTGTGTGGGTGGCAGAGGGTTCGTATTTACACACCTGTTCTCTCTCCTCAGGGTCCTCCTACCACACATCCTAACTTTGGAAAGGCAATAGTGTTAAAAGTTAAGAGTATGGGCTCTGAAGCCACACTGCACAAGCTTATTCTCAGCTCTGCCATTCACTAGATGGATCACTTTGTGCGAGGTATTTAACCTTTCTGTATCTTAACTTCCCTATCTGTAAAATGGAACTCATGATAGTACCCATTTCATAGGGTTGTTTGAGAATTAACTATGAACTCATTTAGCACATGTAAAGTATTTAGACCAGCTCTTGGTACTCAGAAAGCATGTAATAAGGAAGAGCTAAGAGTACTGTTAATAAAATGGTGGAATAGAAGTTCCCAGCTTAATTTCTGTCCACAGAAATCCAACTTGCCACTACCCACAGGCAAGCATGCCACCCTGAAAAAAATAGTTGTTATTATTCTGGACCTGATTTAGGAAGAGAACATAAGAAAATAGCTAAGAAATGGTGATACCCCTACAATCTGGCTATTTGCTATATATTTAAATTGTACAGTTGCCTTATTTCCTCAGTCAGCATTCACTTATAAGATATATTTACCATATGAAGCATGTATCTGCTGACTCTTGCCTCAGACATACTGGAGGACCAAATTATCTGCAGGCAGCAGCAGTGTGAGTGTGGGAAAGGAAGTTCTCATACAGGACATATACCTTAAGACTAAAAAGTTAAATAGGATTCTTTGTACTGTGCTAAACACTGGATACAAAGTAGCAAGCAGTAGAGAGAGTCCTTGATCTGGGACTGTCATTCTCTTTAAAATAAAAATAAAATTTAAATTAAAAAAAGAGAGAGAGGTTGTCATAGAAAATCATGAGACCTGAAAGGCAAACGGAAGTTATCAGGCAGTGTCAGGAAGTAGTATTCTAGATAGAAAAAAAAAATGTATCCAAAGACCCTGCGGAAGAAAGAGCTTGTGCTTAACGAGCTGGAGGAAGTCCGAAGGTCCCTCAGATAAAGACTGAGGGAAGAGAGAGATGACGGGAGGCAATAGAGCTGGCAGACACATGCCCTATCATTTTACTATGTGAAGGAAGAATACAGTTTGTAGGTCTCCTCCATATCTCCTGTCTACCACATTTTTAGCTAGTTTATTTATAATAAGAAACTTAAATTCTTTTAGTAAATCAAGATAAGCAGCACTTAAGCTGCTTACTTACATAAGATAAGGTTAAAAGTATCTCTTTTCATGCTGTGGGTATTTCTTCAGTGGGTAGTTTGGTCTTTCAAGGATATAAGTGTCTTCAGAGTTAGAGTCTTCCTATAATAAAAACATTCAGCAATCACACTGCCAGTAATGGAATAGAGATCAGAAATATTCAGACGAGTAGCCTTTTGCATATATGAGAACTGTGCTTCCCATATATATGATATATGTGAGATTTACTATATGTGGAAGTAGATTTCCTCCCTCCCTTCTCTTCTTCCTTCTGCCTTCCCCTCTTCCTTCCTTTCTTCCTTCCTTCCTTTCATTTTAAAGGGATTCCTTTATTTGGAAGAGAAAATACTCCCATAGTTATAATAACCAATATTCATTTCTAAGTGTCATCCCACAAATCTAGCATACGCCAGTATTTAATTATAAGTCAAGAAGACCAAATCAACTACATGGCATGGTTAAATATTAACCTTTCATTTTAATTCCTTTGAATTAAGTTAGAGGTCGCTTAGCTGTACGTCTGTCACAGACACAAAGTATTGGATATATCTCTCACTGGATCAGGAATACTCCCCAAACTCCAAGTCAAAAAGCCACAACCACCAATTTAAATTTTAGGGAAAAAAATAAAATAACTTTTAGTAAAACATTCTTCCATGCTGTTCAACTTTTAGTAAAACATTCTTCCATTCTTCCATTCTTCCATGCCACCATTCTTCCATGCTGGCCTTACTCAAACCACACAAACAACTGTATTCTTCTTTGGCCTAGGATTTCCATCATACAGGAAGGGAAAGTGATGCAGTAGACTGTCTCCTCTGAACCCTTTCAAGGACCCCATGCTAGGACCACTGCTTGATGAATGCTGTGTACCATATTACCGGCTGCTCAGCCCTCGGATCTAAGTTCCTGTCTCTTTCGCAAGGAGCCTGCAATGACTCCCAACCACTCAAATACCCCTACCACCCTGTTACGGTTCTATCTCGACACACTTATAGGTGGAACTCTGGGGAAGTAACTGGATCACAGGGTCATGATATTCATCAGTGGATTTATCCACTCGTAAGTTTATAGCTAGGTGTGATGCTGGGAGGTGAAGCCTGGTGGGAAAAGGTGGGTCATTGTAGGCATGGCCTCGAAGGGTTTATATTTCTCCCTTGATTCCTTGGTGTGTCCTGCCTGCCCTGTATGGATTGTTTCTCCTCTGCCACACCATGCTGCCTTGGAACCAGCCTCTATTACTAAAACCTCTACAAACTCTGAACCAAAATAAACCTCTCCTTTAACCTGTGGATGTGGGATATTCTGTCACAAGTAAGATACATACACTCTTAGAACACCACATACTCTCACTGGTAAGTGTAACAATTTTACATTTGTTTCTGCATTTACTTGGTTAATGTCTGCCTCACCTACTAGACCACAGTTCCAGTTCCAAGTTACTTCATCAACAAAGATTAATTTTATCAGAAACCCTAACCTTTGGGGGCTGCTGAACTCTGTGGGACATCAGAAGACCACATACCCTTTCGTGGATCTTCTTCCATGTGGGCTCAGAACTACGATGGCACCTGTTCAACAAATTGAACACCACAATGTATTATGCAGCTATTCAATGGTCCACCAGCTTAGAGTATGTAAGAGTTGTTGCTTAAAACTTAATCCTAAGAAAAAACAACAGCATGAAAAATGGTACACATAGTATGAACTCAAAGCATTTATTAAGTCCATGAATAAGAAAAGCACTGGGGAATAAAAATAACCAACGTGTTTAAAATGGTTTGTGCTTGCATGTTTGGCTATAAGTTATTCCTTTCTCTGGACCCTACTGTGTTTTTTCTTTTTTCTTATTCTTTGTCCTTGTGTGTGTGTGTTTTCAACTGTTTCTCTAATGAGCAAATCCTGCTTTCACATTAAAATTTTTAATCCTTAAATTTTCATATAAAAACCAATGTGTTATTTTCTGCCACATGAATTCTATTTTATTTCTCATTGACTTAAACCACCTGGACCCCAGACTTAGCCAGCATTTTCCCCTTCCATACACATTGCTAGCACTGCTCTATCTGTAATGTTGCCGCTTCCCAAGCCCTAGCCACACTCTCATTAACTCCTACTCACCTTTCAGGGTTCAGTTCCATTGCTAACTTCTTAGGAAAGTCCTTCCTGAGTTCTTAAGTGAAGGGGTCAGATAACTTCTCACCCACATTTGGAATTATATTTACCTACACCTCAATCATAGTATTTCTGCCAGTGGGAATCTTGGCATTATTTGGTTAATGTATGTCTGAAATTGAGACTAAGACTGTTTGGTTAATAGTTTATCCCAGGGTACAGTTGGTATTGAATACCATAGTGATATTTAAAAGATATTTCTTGGGGCTGGAGATTTAGCTTAGCAGCATAGCGCCTGCCTGGTAAGTGTGAGGTCGTGAGTTCGATCCTTGGTACTAGAGAAAAACAAAACAAACAAACAAACAAACATATTTCTTGAGTAGTGAGTTCATTCATTCATTCATTCATTCATTCATTCATTTGTATTCAGGGGAGAGGTGAGAACCAAATCCTACACTCTGAGGTGAATGTTAAAGTATACATAGCAATTTGCTAAAGAAAAGCACAGATACTGTTCCCTTAAAATGCCTACAAAGGGGGCTGGGGATTTAGCTCAGCGGCACAGCGCCTGCCTGGCAAGCGCAAGGTCGTGAGTTCAATTCCTGGTACCGGAAAAGAAAAACAAAAAACAAAACAAAACAAAAATGCCTACAAAATTTTAATAATTCAAATAAAGCCATTATCTTCTATTAATGTATGACAAACACTGGAAATGTCAGGAGCATTGGGAATTGAGTTGTTCTTATGACTACCATACTAATGACCCCGTACGTGGCTGCCCCTCTCCATGATTCTGGTCCCATCTGTCTTCCCATCACAACTGTCTATATCAAGCATGTTCCACGGATTTCCAGGGAGACCAAAAAAAGGACTGGCTCTATACAAAACCATTACCAACCTAGAAAAACAGCTCAGCAAAATGAAAGCATCACCTAAAGCACTACTGTGCTTAAGAAAAGACCGTATATACCATTTCTACACTCCTCTATCAAAGTCTAAGATGACAAAAATATTTTAAAGTTATAAAGTTAGTATTTACAAACAGCCACCAGGTAGACATTGTATATACTTCTCATAGATTTTGAAAGTACTAAAGCAATTCCTACATTTGAATGCAATGTAAATGAATGTATTTGCATATACTGTAAATACATACATCTGCATGATATGCACAATCTTTTCTACATTCGAGAACCTTCTCTTTGAAAATGATGAGCCAACAGACAGGAGCAGTGCTGTATCTTCATTATACTTTCTCCACATGATTCACCTTCTCCTTGTGCAGAAGGAGGAATGAGGATGTGTGATGAAGGTACGACATTATCCAAACAGTGGAGAGGAGGAGCAGGCTTGAGGGTGTTCCTCCCTCCTTTGGGACTACCACTTTTCCTCATAAAGGTCTTGCTAAAGGACTTTGTGTTTCTTCCATTAAAACCTTGGGCTGGTCCTCACTCCAAAATTTGTCTTCAATTCATCTCTGTCACCTTGGCCCTTAAGAACTTTAGAATCAAGCTAAAAGAATCTCAAGGGTGTTTCTCAGACACCCGTGTGGTCTGGGCACACAGACCAGTCCTGATGATGCTGATGTGAAAAGAATAGAAATGTAGAGACCTCCAGTGTCCCAGATCCTGCCTTGGTTATCCCTCTAAAGTCAGTAGGAATGCAATCCTCCCCAGGCACACAAATGGCATGTTCTTCACTTAAAACAGCTGTCTTAAATATACTATCTCTGGAGCTGCTCCTCTGGAGTTAAAATTCCTGATCTGCCCAGGACTTGAGAGCTTCCCAGGATTTTGGGGGATGAAAACCAAGACAATGACGGGACATGTTAGTCTTCATTATAGCAGATCATGGCCTTATTTATAAACTCATAGTCCAAATAGGTCCAAGGTTATCTGTTTAAAGTGACTATGAAAAAGAAAAGTGACTTTAGGCACACAGCATCTGCAGTCTCATTAGAGATAACAAGTCACTGGTTTGCAATCAGAATCACATTCCTAAAGCTACCTGTGCCAGCTTCTATGAGTAAACTTTCAAAGCTCCCTACTTCCTTCTAAGAAAACTCCTCAGCTTGGCTTCCACAGTGCCCCCTCAGACCCTTACACCCTGGCACCCACTACTCCCCCAAATCCATCTGACTACTGGAAGCTGACCCTGCCCTGCCTCCTTACCTCCCACCCCTCACCTCCACTAGTTCTATCATAAACCAATCTGCTCTCTCCAGGGCTCAGAAAACATGTCACCTCCTCCACAAAACATGCTAGAACTGCCATCCTCCTTCCTACGCCAATAGCATTTTCCTGTACTATTGAAGAAGCACTGTCCTATAGAAAGCTGCTTGTAGCTGAATACCCAATATGAAGATAACAACAAGTAATACAACAACCATTGTTAATTTCCTACCATCTTGTCTGAAATTCTGGATTGCTTTTATTGTTTTTATGTTGCTGTGTTTATCTATTTGTGTTTGTTAATTTGTTTCTGTTTTTTTTTTTTAATTAAAAAAAAATCACAAAAGAAAAGAAAGAAAGCTGCCTGTGTACTTGTTTTCCCCCATTCCATCCTGGGTTGCAAATTCTCAAGAAATCAGGAGAAATGTTTTAAATACTAGTATTTCTGTTTCAGGCTCAGCGGATTGATTACCAAGGCTGTTCCAAGATACCTTTTTAACCATGGAGAGCCCACACTCACACATAATTCCAATCCCATTTGATTTTGACTCCACAAATATGAAGCAATTTTTCTGCCAACCAGAGTTGACAATCACCTGCATGCTGCCTAAAGACACGCATAAAAGGCTGGGTGCATGGACACATAAACCATTGAACAGATTTAAGGAGAAATGAGACCTTCCCAGATCTCCCTTCTGATGGAGTTACTCGCCTTCTGCACTTCTTTCCCTCTCCTTTGGATTGTGCTTCTGCTGAGTGCATAGACAGTCCATTCGATATCTAGTGGGGTGAGGTTATGTTAACCTCTCACCTAGTGAGGAAGTCACCGGAAAGCGAAAGTGCCGTGATCATGCACACTGCACATCACAGCTGCCCAGTAAGTGCCCAGTCAATTCAGTGTCTCAGGAAAGCTTGCTGCACTGCTTCTAAGGAGCTTAAGAAACTGGGATTTCCCCAGTTTGGGGAGCAAAGAAGTATTCTGTGGCTGAAAGAAGATAAACCTTTGGTCATCACATTAACTTTAAAGGTGAGAAAAATGAAGTCTAAACAGTCAAATATTTGTGTAAGATCATTCAGCACTTAAGAGTGAGCACTAAAGCCCTAAGCTTCCAGTCACACCAAGTGAGGATTCTTTCCACTCCTTGTTTAAAATCAATTCCCTGTAAGTCTTTGAATCCAGAATAATCTCCCTCACTTTTCCAACCCGCTGAGTTCCAGGCTGGTAGCATAAACCAGGAGGAGACAGAAGCCAGGCACAGCGGAGAATAAATACATCTCAGAGCACTTTTCTCTGTGTGCCAAAGTTGATTTTTAAAAAATCTATGTTGTCCCATTTTCCAGTAAAGTAAATGATCAAAAATTCACCGTAAGTTAATGTTTTATTAAAATACTTGATCAGGTTTCCTCAAGTGACTTAATATTTCAATATAGGTATCCTATTAATTCTGAAAACCATCACACATGGATTGCCACTTTCTTAATCTACCGCAAAATATAATTCCTACTGAAATTACAAGGCCACTTTGGTTCTAGGATATCTACAATGAGTCCCTTTGTAAGTAACAGTGTTATTTTGGCATGAGGACTTCTTGTTCTCAGCAGTAGTAATGCAGGGAAGAACAGATTGGCACATCCTCCCTTCAAAACAGCTGTCTTATTTTCAGGGCCACTCCTCTGGCATAAGGGGGACCACCTATTCTGACTTGCACGATGAGCTGAGTTTCCCAGAAAGAAGGACTTTGAGGGCTAACAGAGGACTCAAGAGCATTGGTTGATTTCCTTAGTAGGGAACACAGTTTGGCAAATAAAGATTCCTGTTCTGGTTCTCAGGCCTGGTCTCCAGACAAATGCAAACATGTTCCTATCAGCTGAGGTAATAATGCAGACAAACCAAGAAACTATGCGTCTAGAAAATAAAAACAGAGGCTGGGGATTTAGCTCAGTGGCATATCGCCTGCCTGGCAAGCGCAAGGTTGTGAGTTCAATTCCCGGTACCGGAAGAAAAACAAAAACAAAATAGAAAATAAAAACACACTCTTATGTTAACAACATTTGTCTTCGGGTGGTAAGAGTATGAGTGATTTTTTTCCTCCTCCTTTTTGCTGGTCTATAAATTGTCTATAGTGAACATTTTTATACCACTAAAACCAAAAACTTCAGTTGAAAATTTTATGACAGATAAAAATGTGCAAATACTAGGTAGATAAGACTATATATCAGTTAGGTATCTATCATATTCACAACGAACATGCTGAAACATGCTTTCCAGAGAAGAGGCTCGATTCTGACTTTCGGGTGGATTTTATAAGGAAAGGTGGATTTTTCATACCTAGGTCTCACCATCTGAATGTTGCTAAGAAAACATACTGAAGTGAGGTTACTCCTGCCAGACCACAGCGCTCTCTTCAGGCAAAGAGACAGATGCTTGCTGCTGACCTTTCTCGGAGTAGAAGTGGATCCAGAGGGCTAGGAGATCTGGAGTGCTGGCAGTTGGCAAATGAGGTTTCCCGGTGGAAATTGGCATCCCCTTGGCTACAGGGCGAGGACTTTCCAAACTCTCTTGAATCTAAATGTGATGGTGATGCTTTCCTTAAAATAATCCGTTCATCTGGCTCTCTGATAACCTGAATGACAATGTGCATTATTCTTCAGTTGTAGTTTTTTGTTTCGTTTTGTTTGTCTGCTTTTTGCTTTGCTTAATTTAGAGCTAGGGGTGGGGTAGGAAAAGGAAGAGAAATGGAGGTAAGGTGATAAAATATAGGCCGCAGGGATCTCCTGCAAATAAAAGAGGGCTACAAACAAAATGCTCAGTAGTTGAGGTCAAGGAAAAATAATCAAAAGTCTGTACATTTGGCATATATTAATAAACCAAATTAACTCATGCTCTGAGCTTTGATTTCTGAGGCCAAGGGATTACTGGGTCTGGGAAAAGATAATATTTTAGCAAAATATTTAAGTGCCATGGTGTAAGAAGTATAGTATACTCAATCTTCCAGTGGTAGGTCTATTTTCACATTGTAACACTATAACACTGACAAACTAATAGAACTTCAATAACAAGTCATTTACCACCTCTACATGTATAAGGTGTTCCATTAGAGAAAAAGCAATGAGAGTTACTAGTGATAAAGTAGGTATTGGGCCTAGATACACCCTCCCTGGTAATTCATCCTACAAATGAATAGAGGGGAGCAAATCACCAAGTTCTGAAGCAGAATATACAGTGGAACCTGTACGCCTCTTTGCATAAACCCTAGCTAATCTAAAGCAATGCCATGTAAACAGCACTAGCTAGAAATAAACTTTCTACTGCTGACTGCAGGATGCACAATAATTGACATATAATAACTGCAAATAAATCATTCTACAAATGCTACTTCTAAAATTACCTTTATGTTTGCTGCAAGGCTGTCAAGAGAAGAAGCTAGAAGAAAGAGGAACAGGTGTTTGAATGGCTCATTATGACCAATTAGCCTAAAACTGCTGCTACATTTATTCCACAGCAGTACAACAGTTTTAGACAATGAATGAAATTTTTAAGAACTTCAGTGCTCCCTTGCAAATTACAAGACCGTTATTAAGTCTCCCTTGAGTCACTCCAATTCTGTCTCGGAGTTTATCTATCCTCTTGAGATCAACATGAGGTTTTATTTTTAATTATGCCACAGATGAAAGGAGGAACGGTAAAAGCAAACCTAAAGTGAATCAGTAAGTTCAATACCCTTAAGCAGATTTAAAGCAGAAATAAATGAAATTTGTACAATATGGTCAGGGCCTAAAGGACAGTAATGGGGATCTAATACAAAATTCATATACTCTGCCTCTTCGGCCATTTTGTTTTTGTTTTTGTAGACTCCTATTTATGCAGCAGCACCTGAGTATATTTTTCCAAGGTAGACACAAATGTTATGTTGAGACAATATATAAGAGCTTAGGGAAATATAATGCAAAAATGGAAGTCATGATGATTACCATAAATAATTATGAGAAGCATGAAGACCTACTACCAGAGAACAGGATGGATCCCTAGAAAGTGAAATAATAAAAACACACAGAGAAAACAGACAAAATTGGGGGGAAAAATGCTTTTGAAATGAATATTTGTAAGATAACGGTAAGACCATCATGGTTGCCCACAGTGTGACTGGGGCTTAGGCAATCACGAGGACTTTTCCTTGACTGCTGATTCCCTCATACCACTGGTAATAAGAAGAAAGACACAAAAATGGATTTTTAAAGCCTGGAAAATTTCACATCCTCTGGGCATACAAAACTGTGTGTGTCCATTTTGTCCCAGGAGTTCTCGTCTCTCCTAGCCCAAGCTGAGCAGAGAATTGGCAGTGCCAAGGTTCTTTGCAGCTATTGCCACAAACCTGACCTCTGCCCTGGGACCCCCTGCTACTGGTTTTGAGCAGCCCCCTCTCATGGAGGGCATTGGTATTTGTTCCCTTGATTCTCAGACTGCAGGCCATGGGTCTATAGTTTGAGGATCACCTGGAAGCTTATTAGAAAAGCGTCCCAAGCCTCACCCAGCCCTGCTGATCAGAATCTGTAGTTTAACAAAGTCCCTGGGTGATTCAACTTTGAGAAGCACTGCTTTATTCTACGTTAGGCCTGGATGAAGGAGCTGAAAGGTGACCTAAGCAAAGGTCTGGCTTGAAAGCTATAGGGATTCCAGGATCTGAGCCCAGAGGTCTGAACATCATCTCTAAATATAGGTATGCCAAAAACTTGGTGTGTGACCTGTACACACATTGTAACCTCTCTGGAACCTGAGTTCTCCACCTGCAGGATTAAGAAAAGACAAAGACCCAGCCCAGTGTGATGTATGAGTCCCACAATATTCGAGTCAGCATTAAACCCAACTTGTCCTCCCCCAGAAAGGACATTTGCTGTCATCTGATTTCACTGTACTAGGAAGGACAATGCTTTTATAGGCTACATGGGTAATTTTGAATTCACAGAACCTACATTAAATGTTAAAGGTGATGAAGCACTTTCTGCTTCAGATCCTATGCTCTGTCCTTGGTCAGCTGCTTTCAGTCACTAAGACCTGCTTGTGTTACTGCAAAAACTCTGTAGCCCTGAGAAGTAAAAGCCTATAGGCCTAAGTTAGGGAACTCTGTTCTAAGGAATGGCACAAGTCCAGTCCTACCAGGAGACCAGGGAAAAGAGGACGCTGTCGTCATTTTAGCCTGAGGATTTGGGTTAAGTTCAGGAGTGATGTACTTGGCTCCCATGACCTTCACTCCTAACACATTTACGTATTTCAGTCATAAAAGATGCCTGGGATATGCGATAACCCAATGACTCCACGCACGGTCCAGGAACTTCCCCATGGGTCCTCAAAACCTTTTAAGAAACCTGCAAGGTCAAAATTGCTTTCATAATTATACTAAGATATTGTGTGGCTTTTCACTCTCACTTTCTCACAGTGCTAACAAAAGCTACAACCAATCATAGCATCACCATTCTGATGGCTAAAATTGTACTTCTGCTAGTGTAGTGTATTTTTTAAATTCCTCAGTTTTAGTTTCTAACCTGCTAAATATTAATAGACATTACTCGCTTCAACAAAAAAACCTCTTTGCAATCTTCAGTAATATTTAAAAGGGTCCTAAAATCTAAACTTTTGAAATTCCTTGCCTTAACATAACTGCTTCAGATAGAATTGGCTTCCCTCCTCCCTGACACAGAATCTTGGACAGCAAACATTATCAGTCTCCCGACCAGCCCATTCAGAAAGATGGCAAACAAAATAATCGTTAGCTGTCAGTGCTGCTTTTCCAAGGAGTTCACATCAGGCCATTGCTCCTGGCTTTACCAGCCCAGCCAGGGAACAACGGCAACCACTGCACCCTTACTCTACAGCAACGCTGCCCAGCACAGCTCTCTTCAGCACTAGGTGAACTCTCAAATAGATGGCTTCTCAGCTGCCTCCGCCCCCTGGGAACTCTCCAGTGAACACCATAGATGGAGAGTCCTTGGGAATCAGGCCCACAGTTTTCACCATACCTTGTGCTTCCTCAGAATCAAAGACAGTAAGTAGGATACACTGGTTCCCATAAAGAAATGTACTGAAATATCAAGAAACTAAAGTACCTCTTTTCATCGGAAATGGAAAGTTTGAAAACTTTGATTTTCTTCTAGATTTCTGTGGGTGAGGCTCCCCAAAGGGCTTTGCACTGTCCACCTGATAGCAAAAGAGAGAAACAAAGCTTGAATCTATGGTAGCTTGTAGTACCCACTCCTCATTACCCACCGTGTTTGCTCCTCCTCTGCCAGTATTCAGATCAGAAAAGAGAAGGCTGGGAAATAACTTAAACCATAGTCTCGATGTTACCTCTTCTACCCAACTGGAGGAGCCATTTATCCCTATCTTCACGGAGGCTTCCTTAGGCTAGAACATTAGCATATGGGTTGGCAGCATAAAGAACTACAGCTGGATACATGTTATATGCTAATAGTGGTAGGAATCAAGCACAGAGAGCAAGCAAAGATCTACTTCACATTTTTTAAAACAGGAAGGAGTACCATATTTCTACACAATATTATCAGTGCTGACCTAAGCAGCGTCTTCCCTGGCAGCAAGTGGTTGGCACAGATGACACTGTAGCCTTCCATGACCCCTTCCAGATTGTGTCCATATTCTGGTTTCAAGAAATATACTGATTTATAGCTCAGCGGCAAAAGCGCCTGACTGGCAAGCGCAAGGCCGTGAGTTCGGTTCCCGGTACCGGAGAAAAACCAAAAAAAAAAAAAAAAAAAAAGAAATATACTGATTTGAACTTACAAATTTACAAGTTTTTACAACATCAGATCCTCTAAATGTTAATGCTTCTACTTAAGGAAACACTATGTAGCATCAGGAAATCTGGTTAAATAAAAGAATTAATATTTAAAATCACTAATAAAAGAGCTTGGGACGTGGCAAAAACTCTAAGAATTTGTTAAATAAAAGATATATCAAGCAAGTTTTCATTCTTTAAGAAATCAAACCATATTTTAAGGTTGTTTAGTCTATAACGACAATGGACTAACATATTTTACAAAAATTTACACAGACTGGAATAAATCAGACCCTCCAATAAACTCAAGTTAACAATATTTTTGTGGAGCCACATTTAAAGATTGGTTGCTAGATGTTTGCCAGACATCTTTACTTAGGCCACAAAGTTCTGCATATCTGTATCTGTGAATCAATAGTGTCTGCAGACACTTATTTGGTAGTTTCTAACCAAAAAGGTCTGTTCTACCTACAAATCAACTTTTTAAATTTTTTCTAGGTACTGGAGATTGAACCAGCATCTTCGTACTGAGCTACATCCCAGCCCACAATGCCCAGGCTGGACTCAAATTTGTGATCCTCCCACTTCGGCCTCCCAGAGTTCTAGTATTACAAGCATGTGCTACCAGGCCCAGATCTAATCAACGCTTTATATACAGTCACCTCAACAGCACCTTGACATTGAGACCTACCACACCTCATAGCCTGTCTAAATACACAAACATCGCCACTAGTGACTTTAAGTCAAAATACCAACTCAACATGCTATCAACAGGTAATATTCTGGAAAGGAAGTTGTTGACTAGAACATGGAATAGTGTTCATGGAGAGTATAAAATAATATAGAAAATATTTTTAAGCAATGTTAACTGGACTGTATCAAGTAACTAAAAAAAAGAAACTAATAGTATATACATAGTATAATTACAACTTTGTGGGAAGAAAGCCTATAAAGACCAAAAAAGGTGAAGAAAATGCATAAAGTTAAATTGAGCAGTCTATTTGCTGATGAGCCTATGGGTAATTTATTTTCTTAAACTTTTCTGTATTTTCCATTACTTATGTAGTATAGTAGTAAAAACAATTTTTTAAAGAGATGGAGAGATCTAGGATAGTTAAATTTGTCCACTACCTCCTGTGGGCTAAATCTAAGCTGCCTCTACTTCAGGGCTTTGGGTTTAGCATATTGCACCTTCCTGCAAAGACACCTTACCTACTCTTCAAAGTACGGCCACTACTCAAAGTGAGCACTAATCTCACTAAGAAAACTGGAGCAATTTTCTTTCAGCTGATAAAGTCTCAGCCTTTGTTATACATCTCCAACTCCTGGCAATTCCCCACTTCTTCTGAACAGTGATGAGTTATCGTAGGTAGTACTCCTTTAATAATTTTCAAAAATAAAAAATGAAGATGGCTGACATTTACTACACAGGTTCTCTGTAGGAGATACCTGCAGAGGAGCTTACTCTTTATTAAGTGAACACAGTTTAGCAACAGTTATTATTCAATTTGAATTCTCTATTTCAAATCACCCCTTTGTTTTTGTGGTCCAGCATTCCTTTATTCCACCCTCATCCACATCCTTCCTATTCCAAAGTACTCTGAAGAATTACTTGAGACTCACATGTCTAACCACAAATGGAGGTCTCCTTTCTCCAGTCAATTTGAAGTTATTTCCAAGGTTCAATTCAGCCGGCTGGTCCAGGAAAGAACGTCTGGTGGAATATGGAGAGGGTGCCTGGGATTGCATGCCTGTGGATAGTCTGTCAGGATTATTATCCTTCAGCTTCATCTTTATATTATTTAAGGGGAACACTGGTCCATATGATGCTGAGAAAGGCCTTTGTGACTTGTGTCTTTCTTCCTGAAATTAAAAGAGAATATTTTTAAACTACAAAATCAATCAGAAATATAGCTACATATCATTAAACTTTTGAACACTAAGGCAGAAGATCAACCATCTCAGGATGACAAAACAAGAATTTAAGGAAGGCATTTCTCTACTTAGTCTTTTTTTCCAGTTCAACTTAATACCACCAATACTTATAACTTAACAGTATAATATATTCCAATAATAAAATGAGATTTATTTGTATTAGGGAAAAGTTAGAAAGTATCTCTCTTTCTCTCTCTGTCTCTCTGTCTCTCTGTCTCTCTGTCTCTCTCTCTCTCTCTCTCTCTCTCTCACACACACACACACACACACACACACACAATGCATGCATAGGTAGATGGCAGATACTAATAAAGAGAAAATGTCACATACACAGGTTCAGGAATTTTACTCAAAGAATTTATTATAGTAAATAACTGTGGGTACACATATAGCAACAAAAATGCTTATAGCAATTTTAAAAATAAGAAACCAACTCTTTGGTTGAGTAAGCAGGTGGCTTTCAGCTGCAAGCCCACCTCAGCTCCACGATGATACTGAGGGAGGGATTCTGTAACTCCCTTTTCACCTTTCCAGTCATTCTGTTAGCACTAGGAGGGGAACAGAGACTGAGAGGGTAGGACTGGCTCCTGCTGGTTCTGCGTTCCGCTCCTGTTGGCATCCCCCCAGCAGCCGCTCTTCAGCAGGACAGGAGTCCACGGCTCCAGCTGAACGTTTCCCCCGGAAGGCCAGAGCCAGCCTCGCAGCTCCCTCTCAGTCACCACACCCGCTCAGATACAGGCTCCCGGGGCCCAAAGGCCGCTACTGAGAAACGTGGGTCCCACCCCAAAGGGAAACTTCCTCTAAGTGAGCTGCTGTGGCACTAGCAGTGAGCAGCACGCTCTTTCGAAGTCAGAGTCCCAGAGTTCCTCTGAGTTCCCAGGCAGGAAAGAGCCCCTCCCCACAGGTCTGGTCCCATTGCTCACGGGGCCTCTTCCAACCTCTACATTCCTGGGGACCTAAGCTCTTTCTTCTGCTTCCCCAGCCCTGGAGTGAGAAGCTGCTCCTTGAAGTTTTTCTTTCTTCCTGCCTCTCTCTTCTCTCCCCTCTCCTCTCCTCTCCTCTCCCCATGCCTCCCCTTCTTCTTTCTTCTTCCTCCCCTCCTCCTCCCCTCCTCCCCTCCTCCTTCTTCTTTCTTCTTCTTCCTTCTTTTCCTTTTCTCCCTCTCTCTCCCTCCCTCTCTGCCTCCCTGTCCCTCC